GGTTTATATGCCATCGATGTTATGATTTTTGTCTATTTTAAAGGGAAATGCCATTAACAAAATTGACCCTTCTACACCTACAACTGGTCCCAGAGAAAGCTTGTATTATTTGCAGATGATATAGCACTTGCTTGATCATTCGTACCCTCTCCTTTTCTTACGTGGTTTAAAACACAGTACAATGCCCTTCTTGGCTACCTATGAATTTGAAACAAAATCCCATTTGGGGTTTGTATAATATAGGCACAAGTATAGGTAGTTCCTTGAAAAGTGACCATCTTATTGCATTATGGGGGGCAAACAAAGGAGTCTAATCAAGCTAGGCTGATTGGCTAAATTAATTAAGGATATATTCGGTAAAATTAATTGTTTTTATAATTGTTAGCTATTTTAATATTGTTTAACTATTAGTTATTTAAGTAATTTTTTTATAAACCGATACCTTAATCTCTAAAAGTTATTTCAAATGCTACATTTCTAAACATTATACTAAATTGTAAGATTTTTCAAGAAAGGAGATAAAATGAATCTAGGCAGCCAAGTAGTTTGCAATCCAATCGGTGGGGCTGCCCTAAAATGCATATATGAATGCTAAGCTGCCTTGCTGAGTCTTGTCAAGTTAGAAACTTTGAGCTAGCCAAAGTCCAATGTAATGAATCTGAAATGGTGGTTAAGATGAATTAATCATTTGGAATTTTGAGGCCCTTAATATACCAATGTAATGAATCTGAATATATGAATGCTAAGCTGCCTTGCTGAGTCTTGTCAAGTTAGAAACTTTGAGCTAGCCAAAGTCCAATGTAATGAATCTGAAATGGTGGTTAAGATGAATTAATCATTTGGAATTTTGAGGCCCTTAATATACTATATATATATATATATCCAGCTGGAATCAATTTACTTGTTTGTTGCCCTTATAATAAATGCTTTATTTAGTGCCTCTTGTCAAACACTATTGGCATTCCCATTTATCTTCTTCTTTTTTTTTTTATTTATTAATTTTTAAGTGGATAAGTTGCTTAATTTCTTTTTTCATTTTATTCACTCCACCAAAAAAGATTCAAATCTTAATCCCTGTAATGAAAAATTTAAAACCTCAATAAGATCTTCTAAAATAAAAATTTAGTTGGATCGCAACAGCATGATCTGTTGTCTTCTAGAATTCGAAGTTTCCCACAGGGAGGGAGGAATAACATTGCGAATGTAGTGAGGATAATATCATCAAAAATAATGTTATTAATTAGCGCCCATGGCCTAATGGATAAGGCGTCTGACTTCTAATCAGGCGATTGTGGGTTCGAGTCCCACTGGGCGTGCATATTATCCTCGAAGAAAATTCTTCAGTTCTTTGAAATATTTGTTTTTTTTATAAATACATTATACATGTATTCTAATCCAGATTTTCTTTTTTTTTTTTTTTTTTTTTTTACAAAGACAATCCAGATTTTCTTTTTTTTTTTTTTTTTTACAAAGACATAGTATTTAAATATCTGGTTCACTATTTTTCATTCTCAAAAGTTACTTAAATAGATTTTCGAATTGAATTATGTTTTCATATAAAATAGGTTAGGTATGTTTGTATTTGATATTATAGAATTTTATTTTATTAATGTGAATGCTACATTTTAAGACAGCAAAGAAAAAAAATTGAAAAACATGGAATATTTAGAACAGAAAGGAAGAAAAGTGAAATGTGATGGAGATAAGAAGTTTTGAATATGAAATATTTATATACGCGGATCGAAAAGTATACATATTTTATTTATAAATTCATAAATTTTTAACAAAGAAATATAAAACAAGGAAAATAATAATTAATTTTTGTTCAGATTGTCATTTAATTAAAATTAATTTGATTGAAAATTAAAATTACAGATAGATTAAATTCGAGATCTCCATTAATTTCTCAATAAATAGGGGAAATTTTTTAGTTGCGTAAACTACATGTCACGTTGTGGCCCACGCAGCCTCGTGAGTCGTGCCATTATTGTCACAATTATCTAATCTCTACATACTGAGGGGCATTTCAGATATTTCACAAGGTAATTGAAGTATTGAATGAATACCGTTCACTTGCGTTCAGCTTTAACACGTGTTCTTTTTTTATGTGGTTTAAGACGCTGGGCGGGGCCAGTAGGGTGGCTGTGGTGCCCCAAGGTTGGCAAAGAAGAAAATAACTTACTTATGCTAGGTAATATAGATGAGTCTATATACCCAATTATTTAATATAAATTAAATTATTATTAATAATAATTTATTGGAAAAGAAATGATAAATTAGTAAAAAATTGTAACATTTTTTCTAATATGACATTCAATTATTGTTTCATATATAGAACTATTCATGCATTAAATATAGATAAATAGTTTTTATATAAAATTAAAATAAAGATGAAAATTCAATTAATTGGATTCTCTTCGAGCCAAATCGAATTAAATTAAAAGTTTTAAAATGAAAATAAATTAAACTAATTTATTATGCACAAAAATAAATCAAATTGATCAATCGAATCAATTTCGTTGATTTAGTTTTTAATTTTTTTTATGAATTTAGATTTATTTTTTAAATTGAATGTAAATTGAGTTGGGTTGGCTTTACCAAAATGTACCCAGCCCTACTGCCTTAGTGCTCCACCCAAATGGAAATTAAAGGAAGGAGCAGCTATTTAGCACCAATTATCCTAGCCTCAGTGCTTGACATTTTCTACATTATCATTATTGGGTTGCGAATTTACAGAAATAAATAACCCAGCCCTTTACTGCATCCCTTACCTGCTCCACCAAATGGAAATTAAAAGGAAGGAAAGTCAAGCTATATTCAGCACTCAATTAATCCGTGGAGCCATCCCAGTTGCTTGACAGGAGCAGCTATTTAGCACCAATTATCCTAGCCTCAGTGCTTGACATTTTCTACATTATCATTATTGAGTACATATGCCACTAAATTCGTATAACGATTGCTCCTTTTATACCAAATTCAAAAATCTTAATCTCTTTGGGTATCTCTATTTGCATAATTGCATCATTTAAGCTTAATTAGATGCAAGGAAATGGCAAAATCAAAACCCTAGTTGGTAAAATGTAATGTCATTAATTTGCTGGCTTAATCCCCTTTTAGGCTGTGTTTTATTGCCTCTAAGTATACATTAAGGTGGGTAGTATGTCATATTATTGTATTACTATAGCTAAATTATGTTGTTAAATGGATAAGACAAATTGTGCATGATTAATCTTGATTCAACCCAAGTTGGTTGGTTGGAAGAAGTTTCTTATGGAAGAGAGTTTTAGTAATTGGATCTACTTAAATAATTAGGGATTGTGATTAACAGCATATATATACTTAACTGAAATTGATTTGTTGAAAATAACCCATTTGGATTAATTAAAAAACCCACTATATGCATGATAATATATTCTTTGTTTAACATAATTGTGTCCGGTAATGGTAACTAATGCTATTATCTTATATTGGAATTGGGTTTTGATTGATTTGGATTTGTTAATTGCTTGTTTATGTTATTATCTATTTATTTAAGAAACAATTAAGCTCTAATGATTATGGTAGCCGACGTGATGGATCTTTTTGAAAATGAAGGAATGGAGACAAATTTAGTAACGTGTGCCCCTTTTGTATGTTTCCCGAAAGATAAAGCTTTAGTGTCCCCTTCTTGCTTTCTAGATATTCAACACAGCATACATGCTTCTGTGGATGATAGCTCAATTTGTTTTCATTTTTTTTTAAAAGAAATAAATTTTAGGTATTGTTCTACGTCATGTTTTCGGCCTTGTTCCGCAACAGCTTTTAGCTGAACCCTCTTTCGACAATCATTTTTGAATTGACTTTTAGAATTTTGACCAAGTCAAAATTCTATATTTATCAATTATACCTTGATTACATAGTTTTTCTAATAGTTTTTAAGGGATTGAGTGAGTTTTTATATGAAATATTAACATACTCTAACATTTAACGTTTCATATAGATTAATTAAATTTTTTGACAATTAGATCTATTTTTACTTCGAATTTTAAATACCTAATCTCTTTTTTTCTTCATTTTAAATTAAATATCTAATTAAATAATTATGTTTACCGAACACTTTTAATTTAAATTATTATATAAACAATTATCAGCGAAAAGCTAATAGTTAACTGCTAAGAGTTAAAAGCTAATAGATATTATCATTGTTAGTAATAATAACTAGACTAAAGCAGCAGTTGATGTTTGTTTCATGGTTAATTAATAGAGAGAAAAAAGAAAAATAACAAAAAAGCTAAATAAAGACAAGTTGCAAATAATTGCTATAGACAGTGAAAAGGGATTTCTGAGCAACAACAAATTTCAGCCCATTTTAATGGTTTCGGGCCCAAAATATCGACGACAGTGAAAAGGGATTTCTGAGCAACAACAAATTTCAGCCCATTTTAATGGTTTCGGGCCCAAAATATCGACTATGTTGTGAGTGGTATGGGCCTGAGCTTCTTAATTGCTTCTCTATTGAGAGTGTGGAAAAGTTTTATTTGCCCAAAATGGTTTGGGGCCCATTTTGTAGACTAATAAAAACTCATTGGAAATGCAAGCAGTAGGATGTGTTATGCATAGTTCTTCTTACGCTCAGCTACGTTCCTTGAAGATGCTAAGAAGAAGCAATACTACATACTTTTCTTCGAACACAAAAATTTACAAGTCGTAAACGTGTATCAAAGCTTGTGGTTCCATACGACATTCTCTGTTACAAATATAAGTCAAATTTTAGAGAGTGATTAAGAAAATAATTAAGAGAACCAAATATCATAACTAGTGAAAGATGATGGTCTTGGCGCGTGAACAGCTAATGGTCGAAGATATTTGCAGGAACTTGCACGTTAAAGTTGACTTAATGGGTGTTGACTTCCAATTTCCATGTTAAAAACAAAGGAAGAAAGAAAGCTAGCTTTTATGGAGTTATATCACATCATAAATCTATTTTTTTCGTAACAGTTACTATTAGAAACTGAAAGGAAATGGATACAAGGCTTGTTAAACCAATTGTTGAAAATGATGCAGAGACTTTCCTGGAGCTGATCGAAGAAGACAATACAATTCTTGATCGACGAACAAACGACACATCAAGCACAGTGTTGGACTTTGCTTTAATGTATAGACGCCCTGAATTGGTCAAGATAATCATCGAGTGGCGTCCTCAAATGGTTGCAGCACAGAATGCAAATCAAAAATTTTAAAACTATTTTAAATGGTTGAGAGATTACATCGTATGATTGTGCTAGCTATGATAGGCTTTGTGTTTTAGTTTTATAGCTATGAGCAACAACTAGTGTTTAGACTATATCTTAAACTTTACGTATGAACCTAGGTTATAAATAAATAAATTATAATTATTTATTTAAACATTTTAAATAAATAAATTATAATTAAAATATATATGTGTAGAGACAACAAACTTATGTGTTGTAGTACTTAATATTCCTAATAAACATTTACGTAATGATACCTAGGTTAATAAATAAATAAATTATATTATTATTTAAACATTTTTTAAATAAATAAAATCTATAAATTAAAATTATGATGTGCCTATGTTATTTCTTTAAAACAATTTAAAATAAATAAATCATAAATACATCATTAGTGAGATTAGGGATTTTCAATTTAATCAATTAAATATTTTATTTAATCTAACTATTTAAAGATAAAGTAAATTCATAATTAAGAAATTATTTTAAATAAATAAATCATAATTAAAATATTAAGTTTATTTAATCTAAAATTTATCTTAATAAGTTTTAGACATAAATCAATTAAGTCAATACTTAATAATTTAGGAAAAATTGTAATTAAATATAAATTACAATTTTATCCTTAATTTCACAAAATTTATTTGTAATCAAATCATACTTTATTCGATTCTCTTTTTCACTATCTCATATCCATTCTTATTTGTGTGATCTTTTAAGTTCCAAAAATGTTGGCAATAAATATAAATTAAGTTAATTAATTAATATTTGAAGGCTAAGTACATTGTCTAGCAACATGTTAAGACTATCCAAATATTTAGAAAGTTAAAGTGGTTTGAATTAAAATTTCAGTGCATGATTTATCAGTGTAATTAATATCCTTCATCATTAATGTTCTGATTTCGTAATTAGTTATGGAGTGTATCTGTTTTACTAAATCATGTTAGTTCTTTTAATCTTATCCATTGATCATTTGAATGTAATTCCAAATTTAATTTGCTAATTTCATTTTATCTTGCGCAAGATGATTACTTAATTCCAATACTAGTAGGAGAACAATCTAGAACATTTTAGTAGAGAACAATTAGAACATTTTTCCTGATTTACCTAGGGTGATGGATCATCTCTTAATCACACAAGTATCTCCATACAGTTCCTACTATGTTTAATTAATCATTGCTTATTATTCAGGTAATGAATAATGTGAATGAAGAATAAAAAAATAATCTTCCCCATATAAAATAGCTTAGTAATTTCAAGTCAAAGGATTATTTACACAATCATTATTTGAGTATTCCACAGACACATGTAACTCTCCATATGAAATTTTCATGCAGGTAAATTCAATGGACTTGTTTAAATGACAAGCATCTACATATTAGTTTTAGATATCACATATATTTCAGCTTATTTGGGCAGCTGTTTCTCTAAGGAAAGAGCAAAATATGCACCAATCTCAACAGTTCTACTCGTTATCCAATAATGAGGAGAACATTGATCAGAAATATTTAAAAATATTGCTTTAATGCAAATATAAAACTTATAATTACAACCACAAGCAGTATTGTTTCATAAATTTTATCTTTTACCAAGATTCAAATAATAAAATATAAAAGATAAAATAAATATTTTTTATTAATAATAAAATATTTATTACATAAAATATTATATCGATAGCCACTCGAAACGGCTACAGGCGTATAACTAAAACCGTGGGCCATGGAAAATGTTGACGCTGCTATTTGGTGTCAATCCAGAGGCAGCATATAAAGTTAACAAAAAGAACCAGAGTTTGCTTTTCTTGGCTTGCTTCAATGGGTTTCTTGAGGTGGTCAAACTCCTTTTGAAGCGGCCTGATTTGTCCAGAGGGCAGGAGGCATATAAAAAAGTTTAACAAACACGAAACCCAGGTTCGTGCTTTCTTGGCTTGCTTCAATGGGCCTTCCCTTGAAGCCAAGTGCTTTGGTCAAATCACTCCTTTCGAAGCGTGTCCTGATTTTTCCGGTGTGCAATCGGTAGTTGTCTCCTTCGTGTGTTCAATACCCTTTGTTCTTGTCCTTCATCCTTGCCCTTGTACTTCTCGAAGGACATTATTAGATGGATATTTTCCTTATTTGGCTTGCTTCAATGGGTTTCTTGAGGTGGTCAAACTCCTTTTGAAGCGGCCTGATTTGGTGCAAATCGATTGTTTTGGTCAAACTTGTCTTCATGTTGCTGTAATGAAGGGACATATAGGTATTTATTCAACCAAATAATTTTAGCTTCCGACCTCTTAAAGTAAATTATATATTCAATTCAATTCTTTTGGCAAGAAAGCTGTCGCGTTGCTCATTACTAAATCTGAGCATCAGTTAATTAGAAGTTTTATACTACAGATATTGTTGAAGTGTTATCGAATGAGCTTCCAAGCTTAGCCCAAAAGATTGACAAAAATGAAAATATGCCACTTCATTGCGCTTGTATCAACGGAAGCCTAGAAATGGTGCTGCTACTGCTTCAAAAAGGCAGCAAAGATACACACTGGTGGTGGTATAATAATGATGGCTACACGCCATTACACTTGGCGGTGATGAATGGGAATGTTAAAATTCTGGAAGAATTTCAGGCGAAAGCTCTATCTAGTTTCGAAAAGTTTCCGAGACATAGTAAGCAATCAGTATTTCACTTAGCAACCAAACGCAGATCAGAACCTGAAGACGTTTTCTTTTTCTTGGCACACATACCAAGTCTTCTTCACCTCTTATATTACAAAGATGAATTGGGTAACACAGTCTTACATCTCGCTTGTGAAAACAACTACAAGGTTCTGAAATAAAGTGAAGGTTTATGTTATTTTATTATTTATTTATTTTTTAACTTAATGATTGAGTGTTGTTTTGAATCAGATTGCAGTGTACTTGATCAAGGAAGATGAGATGTTGGATGTGAATGCCTTGAACTACAAACAATTCACAGCCCTTGACATACTTGACCAAGTGTACTTGATCAAGGAAGATGAGATGTTGGATGTGAATGCCTTGAACTACAAACAATTCACAGCCCTTGACATACTTGACCAGAATAAGGACATTGGTGAAGATAAGGAAGCTCTTGAAATTTTATTAATTAGTGCAGGTGGCAAAAGGAGGAGAGAGATGTTATCAAAAAACAATCTTGCTGTAGTTAGAGCAAAAGAAGATGACAAGAAAGAAGTGGCCGGTTTCGAGTCAGAGCTTGTCTTATCTCCTACAAGTTATTCATCAAATGAAGGTCAAGTTTTTGAAAAGGAGCCTGTCTTATCTCAAGCAAGCTATCCATCACCTCAACCACATTGAAGGAGAAGAAGATCCAAAGTAAAACCCATTACCTCATTAAGTAGACATCAGCTAAGTAGGCCTCGTGGCAGCACAAGGAAGATAGATGTTATGGTCCCTAGATAAGGATCTAGTTATGGGGCGATGGGATGAGGGATTGGTGGGTGATTGGGATGATGAAGGGCGTTTACTGCGACCTATGGTTGCAGCCGTTCAGGCTCAATAGAGGGACCCTAAAAACCTCTTGAGTTTAAGTCTCAAAAACTGTAGAAAGTTCAAACTGAATTTCATTAACAGAAATGAAAGATTAAATACAGAAATATAAGTAACTGCCTCTACAAATAAAATACAGAAATATAAGTAACTGCCTCTACAAATAAGGAAGTTACTGCCTTAGTGGAATTGGTAAACCACCCACTAACTTAGGGAAAGCAAACACATGACAGAACATGAGAAAAACAGAATAGAAACTAACTGCTGGACAGACAAAACAGAAAAGAAGCTAACTGCTGGACTTGACTGACTTAGCTTTCTGTCCATGTACACCTGGACGGGCTTGCTAACATTACTCCCCTCCTCCACAAGGCGTTTGTCCTCAAACGCAAAGTTTGGATATTTGAGGTGGAACTGATTACCCATTCCACTTTCCTTCTAGACGCATCATTTGAGGGTTTCTGATTCCCGTGATTGCATTCAATGAGATCTCTGGAGGGAATTCTTCTTCATGGAATTCAGCCACTGCATTTTCAGTCTCTCCTTCAACTAATTCAATCCAGAAGAGTTTTTTGCATTGATGTCCCTGCACAAAAGCTTCATCACAATTTAAGCAAAGGCCCTTCTTTCTTCTATCCTCCATCTCTTCTCTGGTTAATGTTTTCACAGAACGGGTAGGCCATCCTCCATCTCTTCTCTGGTTAATGTTTTCACAGAACGGGTAGGCCTTATGTTTGTCACTGCTGTTTCCTTTCTGGTATCACGAAAATTTGAGATTTTGGAAGACAACCTGCGTTCATACAAACGGGACATGCTCATTATTGTCACCAAATCCTTGGGCTGATTTAATTCAACCTCCACAGCAATTGCTTCCTGCAGCCCACTAAGGTACAATTGTACCTTTTGGAATTGGGTAAGTGTGCCGGCACGAGATACCAAACTCTCAAATTTAGTTTGATAATCCGCTATGGATCCCCATTGTTTGAGTTTGGCTAATTCCCGCAATTTGTTGCTACGAACAGGTGGTCCAAACTGAAGATTACACTGGTGGCTGAACTCCTCCCACGTGGGACCCGTCATATCTTCCAATAATTGCATGTACCAAAGCTATGCTGCCCCCTCTAAATGATAGGCAGCCAAGCTGACTTTCTCTTCCTCCGGGGTGGATTGATGACGGAAAAAGTGACCGCAGCGGCTTAACCAAATCAGGGGGTCTTCAAGCCCATTGAAACGAGGGAAGTTAAGTTTGGTAAATTTCGGTACAATCGTGTTTCCTCCAGTAGATTCAGAAACAAATATACCAGAAATTCCCTTATCTTTGCGGCCCTTGGAATGACTTTCAGCACCAGCAGACATTCCTCTTTTACAGGATTCCAAATCCAGAGAAATTGCATCAAGCTTGGCTTGTATTTGGTCCACCTTCTCTTGTCGAGCTTGGTTGGCTTGCTGCTCGGCTAGGACAATGTGGAGGAGTTTGGTAAGTTGTTCTGAAACTGAGTCTCCCATAACTATTGGCTCTGATACCAATTTGTTATGGTCCCTAGATAAGGATCTAGTTATGGGAAGATAAAGGGATCTAGTTATGGGGAGAATGGGATGAGGGATTTGGTGGGTGATTGGGATGAACGAAGGGCGTTTACTGCGCGACCTAATGGTTTGTAGGACGTTCAGGCTCAATAGAGGGACCCCTGAAAAACCTCTTGAGTTTAAGTCTCAAAAAACTGTTAGAAAGTTCAACTGGAATTTCATTAACAAAAAATGAAAGATTAAAAATAGAATATAAGTAATTGCCTTCTACAAATAAGGAAAAGTTAACTGCGCTTAGTGGAATTGGTAAACGCACCCACTAACTCTTAGGAAAGCAAACACAAAGCAAACACATGACAGAACATGGGAAAAATAGAAAAACAGAATAGAAACTAACTGCTGGACAGACAAAACAGAAAAGAAGCTAACTGCTGGACTTGACTGACTTAGCTTTCTGTCCATGGGTGAACCTCTTGTACACCTGGACGAGCTTGCTAACAATAGACTTCACTGAAGACATTAATCATCTGCACCAAATACATGGAGAAGCATTGCAAAATGCAAGAAACACAATCATTTTGGTTGCTACTGTGATTGCGACAGTGACTTTCACTGCCGGAATAAATCATCCCGGTGGTGTTTACCAGGATGGAACTATGACAGGGAAGTCCACCGTAGCAAGAACTGTAGGTTTTAAGGTTTTTGCAATAACTAACACTATTGCATTTTTCACATCTCTTTCCATGGTGCTTATTCTAGCGAGGATCATACCCTTTCGAAGAAAAACACAAAAGAGAATACTGAAAATTGCAGATAGGATAATGTGGTTAGCAGTGTCATTCATGGGAGCAGGTTACTTTGCAGGCTCATGGGTGATAATTTCTCCTGTTCGAGGGACAGAATGGATGCCTGTCATTGTTTTGTTAGTGGCTGCTGCGATAGTGGCAATTACTTTTATTGGGATATTGGTGATGTTGGTTGAGCAGAAACGGAGGAAAAAGCATCGAAGGACAGAGAAGAAAGAAGGGAGAGATATAGATGATAGGAAACTGATGCGGAGCAACTGGCGGTTAAATATATGGAAGATTTGGATCGATGCAAAACCAAGAAAAAGGAGCAAGGTCGTGCTATCTCCAGCACGCCTGTGCTAGACTCTAGAAGTTCAGGACGAGAGACATGCCCAAAACCAAGAAGCACATGTACGCCAGTGTCACAGCTAGCCTACCGTGCTAGCCTCTGGAAGTCCTAGGACGCCCGTGCCAATGGGTCCAATTACGTTTCGTGTTCCGGTACACTCTGTCATGCCAAACACGCCTGTGCTAGCCTTTGAGAGTTCAGGCACGCTCGTGCTTTGTCCAGCATGCCCGTGCCGCCCTCCTTACTAAGGTTTTATCTAGTTACATTTTTGTGTTATTTTAGGGTTTTAATGTTTTAAAAACTAAACCTATAAATAGGTTATTTTGTATTAAGAACATGGATCATCTTTGATTATTATTGATATCAATAAACTTCTTGAAAGTTTTAATTCTCTATTTTAGTCGTCAGATTATACGTTATTGATCAAAACTCCTGATAGAGTATAATCGTTATTCTCATTCACGTAAAAATTCTCTATTTTAGTCGTCACGATTATACGTTATTGATCAAATACCCTGATAGAGTATAAATCGTTATTCTCATATCACGTAACCGTTGTTCTGCATCAAAAACTCAAAATTCTAGAATCAAGATATTGAGACCTAAATTATGAGCGAGGATTATTAATTCATTTTGATTGTATTGAAATACCCCCAATTCCAACAATACATTAAAACATGGCATTTTCAAATAAAAGTATGAATTTCTCAATAAATTAAGATAAAATCTAAGTCGAGCAATCTTAACGCGGGATGGTAAGGCTGGTTTAAGGAAAAAGTTTCGACCAACAGCTTGGATTTACTTTAGTTTGTCAAAAGGTGACCAGAATGAGGACAAGTCTTTGTAGTTAATTATTTCTTAATTCAATGCATTTAACAACTGTCATTAAGTGTTTTTTCGCAAAATAATTTAAAGGAAAGGCAAGTACTATCGGAGTCCGGGTCGTCGCTCGGTCAACATGGATGCAAACAATAAAATTTAATGGATATGCAAAACACTAATTAGTGGTTTGATGGTGACATGTGGAACAAAATTAATGTGAAAAGGGAATGTAGGAACCTCATATAATGCCAAATTAATGTTTTTTTTATCAACCTTAATACATTGACCTGAATTTTTATTGGTTGTTTGAACTTGAAAAGAAATTGAAAAAAAAAAAAAAAAAAAAAAAGGGAAAAGAAAAAAAGGAGGTCCTATATGATCTTGTGTTTATGACAAGAGAAGCAATTAATAAGGATTAAACACAAATACTAGAAACAGAAACGAAATGGATAGAAGGCTTGTTAAAGCAATTGTTGAAGATGACATGCAGTCTTTTCACGAGCTGGTCGAAGGAGATAAAGCAATTCTTGAGCAGAAGACAGAAGATACAGCGTAATTATGGAGCTGTGTCCTGAACTGGTTGCAGCACAGGATGGAAAAGGCGACACTCCATTTCATTTAGCCTGTCGCCATTGCAATCCTGAAATGTTAAAGCTTTTGATTGGTGTCAATGTCGAAGCCGCACATAATAAGATTAATAAAAAGAACCAGACTCCACTTTTCTTGGCTTGTCGCCATGGGCATCTTGGGCTGGTGGAACTCCTTTTGCAGCGGCCTCAGTTGATTCAAGTTGATGGTTTCGATCAGACTTGTCTTCATGTTGCTGTTTTGCTGGAATATACAGGTTCAAGAATTTGTACAATCAATTTTACTTCATAGGAATTAATTAGTGGGAAAAAGAAGTTGTGATCACCATGAAAATTTTCTCTCTTATTTTACCTTATTTCATTCACTAGCTCTGCTACTAACTTGTATATATTATTAATTACAACTGTTGTTATGCAGATATTGTTGAAATCCTGTTGAAAAAGGTCCCAAATTTAGCCCTGAAGATTGACAAAAATGAAAATTCACCACTACATTGTGCTTGTATCAAAGAAAACTTAAGTATGGTGCAGCTACTAATTGGAAAGAGTAGCAGACAAACACACAGGCTGTATAATAAAGATGGATACACAGCATTGCACTTGGCAGTGATGAAGGGGAATGTTCAATTTCTTGAAGAATTTTGGAAAAAAGCTCCATCCGCTTTCAAACTGCTCACCAGAGATACTAAGCAATCAGTTTTTCACTTATCCGCAAAACAAAGTTCAGAATCCGATGATTCTTTCGTTTTCCTACTGCAGAAATCAAGTATTTATCATCTCTTATACTCTACAGATGGATTGGGTAACAGCGTCTTACATCTCGCATGTGAAAACAACCCCGCGGTAAGAAATTAGGATGTATTAAATGGTATTTAACAAGTACTTGTTATTACGTATATAAGAAACGATAATAGTAACAATCAATAAGTTGTTATATTAAGTTAATATATGTTTGTCTCAGATTGCAGAGTACTTGATCAAGGAAACGAAAATAAATGTGAATGCCCTGAACAATGAACAACTTACAGCGCTTGACATGCTTTACCGGAACAGGTTTAATCGAGGTAGACGCGTTATTCAAACCTTATTAAATGCAGGTGGTAACAAGGGAGTACAAATTTTATCAAAAACCAATGATGTTGTTAGAGCAACGGATGATGATAAACAAGTTTCCGATTTTGATACAAAGCCAGCGGATGATGACAAACAAGTGTCCGATTTTGATACAAAGCCAGCGGATGATGATAAACAAGTGTCCGATTTTGATACAAAGCCAGCGGATGATGATAAACAAGTGCCCGATTTTGATACAAAGCCAGCGGATCATGAAAGAGAAGCAGACAATTTCGATTCAGAGCCTATCTTATCTCCTACAAACAATTCATCGCATGAAGATCAAGAGCCTAATTTATCTCATGCAAGCTATTCATCACCTCAACAACATCTAGTTGGTGAAAGAAGAAGAAGATTGAAAGCAAAACGCAATGCTACAAAACAAAAGGACAAACGTGGCAGCACAAGGAAGATGGACTTCACTGAAGACATTAGTGGCCTGGAACAAATACATGAAGAGGCACTGCAAAATGCGAGAAACACAATCATTTTAGTTGCTACTTTGATTGCAACAGTGACTTTCACTGCTGGGATAAGTCCTCCTGGTGGTGTTTACCAGGAAGGAATTATGAAAGGGAAGTCAACTCTAGCAAGAACTGCAGGTTTTAAGGTTTTTGCAATAACTAACACTATTGCGTTGTTCACATCTCTTTCCATGGTTCTTATTCTAGTGAGGATCATACCCTTTCGAAGAAAAACACAGAAGAGAATACTGAAAATTGCAGATAGGATAATGTGGTTAGCAGTGTCATTCATGGGAGCAGGTTACCTGGCAGCCTCATGGGTGATAATGTCTCCTGTTCGAGGGACAGAATGGATGCCTGTCATTGTATTGTTAGTGGGTGCTGCTATACTGTCAATTACTTTTATTGGGATATTGGTGATGCTTGTTGAGCAGAAGTGGAGGAAAAAGCAAAGGAGGTCAGAGAAGAATGGAAGGAGAGATATGGATGAACGGAAACTCAAAATGCCGGAATCAGATATTGAGACTAATTATGAGCGAGGATATTACTCATTTTGATTGTATTGAAATACCCAATTCAACAATAAAGTCTTTCACAAAAACCCAATACCAAGCATTAGACTTTAATTGTAAGGAATAAAGCAATTGGTTCTTGTCATGTTGGAATCCTTCTTCAGACACCTTTCTCATTAGTCATCATTTTCTGTCTCTTTCTGTATGTGCATTGTTCAGTTTGCCTCATCGTTTAGTTTTAATCTCATACCTCCACGCTTTTTATCGGTATCACTAACCCTTCACAAGAATTATATCAACAAAAAAAAGTACATAAATAGAAAAAAAAAAAATTGCATTACTTGGTTATTTTCAAAAAAAAAAATTGCATTACTTGGTTATTTTCATAGACTTTAGAGAACTATGGTTTTTGAGGTAACTAGACATGAGCAAAAATGAAGGCACAGTTTATAATAGCAATTCCATAATCATACATCACCATTGACAATTACATTCAAATTGATGGACGCGATCGAGAGCATTACCGGTTGGGTTGATGGTGGAGCAGTGGTGGAGATAGAGAGAACGACTGCTGACTCCGTACGACAAGTGCTTTCGATGGATTTCTCTGGCGACGAGGGAAACTTTTCCATGTCATTCAAGAGCGACGAGAGAAAAGTCATCATTTTCAAAACTTCCGTACTCAAATCCTAATTTAGCGGTGGCCGCTATCTCCACTCTCCAACGACAGGTCGTCCAGTTATTTTTCTCTAAATCTATATTTGGGCTTTAAGAAGCCCAAATATATATATATTTAAAAAAAAAAAAAAAAAAATGAAATTGTACTAACTTGTATAGAAATTATATATTTAAAAAAAAAAAAATGAAATGGTACTACTTGTATAGAAATTTCCAAGTCACCTTCCGTCTCAGTTGATGCCTTCTTTCCTAGAATCTCAAGAGATAAAAGTTGTACCTCTCAGAGATGGGGAGAGGACTGGCTGGCTTTGCTTCCAGGAAAAACATTTTTTGGGCCCCTTAATGGTAAATTCCATAGTCTTTCTTGAAAATGTTGAGGATAGGACGGATCTAAAGTTACATTTTTGCCCCATATTTAAAATATGTTTCGAGTTTCATGAATCATGACTCCATGTACGCATATTTCCCCCAAAACTAGCCCAAATTTAGGTTGGACCCATTTGAACATTAAAGTCAAAATGTTTGGGCCCATTTGGCAAAGAGTTAGGTTGGACCAAAAGAACAAAGTTTCTTGGAGATGCCTGGAACTTTAACGGAAATGAATGTCCATTTCTTGAAACTAGCAAGTTATATAAAAATTTGTAAAATCACTAAACATGTCATATCTTTCCAGAACTGAGCTTGCTTAAACTTCAATCTGAAAATATATCCTCTTTATTTCTTTTTCAGTCTTCGATAGAGTTCTCGATTTTCTAGAAGCTCAAGGAAATGGATCTAATGCTTTTTGAGTCCAATTGGAGAAATGATATAGTTGAATTTAAAAGAATAGCTCAGCAGGATAAAAGAGTTCTTGAACGAAGATTACCCATAACTTTGGACTCGGTGTTACACTTGGCTTCAAGAGTAGGCCATATAGAATTGGTTGCGACAATTGTTAAGCTGTGCCCAGATTTGGTTGCAGCGGTGAATGAAAATCAGGAGACTCCATTGCATGCAGCTTGTCGTCTTGGGAACTTCCAGGTCGTAACAAAGCTACTACAAGAAATTGATCCACTAGTGGCTGCGAAGCGAAACGAAGAAAAACCAGAGTGCCTTTTCACTTGCCTGTGAAGAAGGGCATCTTGATATAGTGAAACTCATGTTGAACCTGTCCTGTTTGATGGAACATGAAGAGGATGCAGTGTATGCAATTCCTCTACATGTAGCAATCTCAAATGGCCACAATGGTGAATACAATCTCATTGTCAAAATATGATCATTTCATTTCATAAACTCCAATCCCAACTATTTGAAAATCTCTGCATTTGCTCATGACCAATATAGTTTTGCAGATATTGTAAAGGAGATATTACAAGCACGGCCTAATTTTGCTCGAAAAACCGACAAGAATGGATTTTCTCCTTTGCACTGTGCTTCTAGCAGAGGATAGCTTCATATGACTAAAATGTTATTGAGTGCTGATCCACCTTGCTTTGCAGTACAATAACTATGGGTTTACAGCATTGCACTTGGTCGTGATTAATGGTTATTTAAGAATCCTTGAAGAATTCATTTCTGCCTCTCCCAGTTCGCTTCATTGTCTCACAAAGAAGGGAGAAACAATTTTTCATCTTGCTGTAAGATTCAATAGATATAATTTAATCATTTCTTTAGCAGAGGTTTCTGATATATCTCACCTTCTACACCAACAAGACCAAGCTGGTAACACCATACTTCATCTAGCAGTTTCTACAGGAAACCTTCAGGTATCATTCTTTCACTTGTTGATTTTATCACAGGCACAAAGATTTTGTTGGAATATAAAAACATAACATAAAAGAAGACTTGTGCTTTTTTGGTATCATTCTATACTTGAATTGTTGAGTAATACCAATTCTTTGAAACTCACTTTCAGTTAGTGGAGTTCATCTTGAACGCAAAAGTGGACGTGGGTTGTCAGAATAATAAAGGACAAACAGCTTTAGACATGATTGAACAGATTGGGAGTAGAACAGATAAGACGCTACTTAAAGAAATGTTAAAGACAATCGGTCTTAATATGAGCATTGAATTGCCATCTGATAAGCTAGAGCTAGAAAAATACTTCTCTCGGAGCTTGGAATTGCCCATGACAGATACTGAAAAAGCTAATCCAGAAGAAATTCAGACAGTTGAAGACCCCAAAGCTGGACTTGAGGAAAAAATCACAGGTCTTCTTCAGTTTAGGAGTAAGCATAAATCAAGGGGGAAGCGAAACCCAATAACCAGTTTGCTTAACCAAGAAGATAATCCATCTCATCCAGAATGGTTGATGGAAAGAATGGATTTTCCAACCAATTTGCTTAAGCACAAGCATCTCAGTAAGTCTCTAGGACGCTCGCCTGCACTAACTGCGGAAGTCACCTCAACAAATGGTTTACACAAGCTTCAATCCAAAGAGAAAGTTGATACCGTTGTGGTCGTGCCCACTCAAGTGGACCCACACAGTATGAAAAGAAAAAAAAAAGGGGGAAAAAAAACAAAGTGCTGTTTGAAAAAGCAAAAGGTTGGCAGAAGGTTTGCAACCAACCTAAATGGAGAGCTCTCACATTTCCTCTCCTAGACACACCAACAACACATACAACAGAAATACGAAAGAAAAATTTAGAGAGTTAGTTATCTAGTTTTAAGAAGGGTTACTAAATAGTGAGGAGATTATTTTGAGTTGTTTTTGGGAAACACTTTGTGTGTCACTATTTTTGTATTACTCTCTTTGTGTACCTACTATTTTTAATAGTGGAAGAATGATTCGGAGTTTGTTTGTCGTGTCACTATTTTTGTATTAACTATCTTTGATGTAACCTTACTATTTTTTAATCAGTGGTAGAAATGATTTCGGCAGTTTGTGGGACGTAACCACTAACAGATTTTGAGGCAGTGAACTACGTCTAAATTTCTGATGTGTCAACAAATGGTGATTATTTCGCTGTGTTTAATTTTCTCTTATTGGTCTGAAAGGGCCACAAGTGGTACTCACGAGCCTTGATTGCCACAAAAACTTGGTATCAGCACGCTGTTCCTACAAAACTGGTATCACAACACGAAGGTTATCGGTAGGTCAGACGATCAAGATGCTGGTACCGGAATCCGTGGATATTACTTTTGAAAATAAATTATCACCAATAGCGGTACCGGATCCGTGGATATACTTTGAAAATAAATATACCACGACGACGAGAAAATTACGACGAGTCTATTGGTGCTGTCCGCTCGGAAAGATATTATAGTATCGACTTAGTGGTGAATAGTAAAACAGTAACTCAAAGTTGGTGGTGAACAGTATTATTGGCGTTACTGTTGCTGAGCCGTGACTCTTAAGCCCAGCACTATTCACGCATAGTACTATTGACGTGTACAGTTACTATTTACGTGTACTGATACTATTCACGTATACTGTTACTATTCACAGCTACTATTCACGTATACTAATAATCGAGGCGGAATCAGAGTAGAGTGGGCCAGTGTTTGTAATGGTGGACGATATCTGAGAAAGTCCAGTGGCCAACGACTCAGAGCAGAGTGGGCCAGTGTTTGCAGAGATGGACAATATCTCAGAAAGTGCAGTGGCCAGTGACTCAAAGCAGAGTGGGCCAGTGTTTGCAGAAATGGACAATATTTCAGAAAGTCCAGTGGCCAGCGATTCAGAGCAAAGTGGGCCAGTGTTTGCAGAGATGGACAATATCTCAGAAAGTCCAATTGCCAGCGACTTAGAGCAGAGTGGGCTAATGTTTACAGAGGTGAACGATATCTTAGAAAGTCCAGTGACCAGCAACTCAGAGTAGAGTGGGCCAGCGTTTGTAGAGGTGGACAAGAGACATAACACAGTTGCCAGCGACTCAGAGCATAGTGCGCAAGTGTTTGCAGAGGTGGACGATATCTTAGAAAATCCAGTGGCCAGTGACTCAGAGTAGAGTGGGCCAATGTTTGCAGAGGTGGACAATATCTCAGAAAATCCAATGGCCAGCGACTCAGAGCAGAGTGAGCTAGTGTCTGCAGTGAAATGGATTTTCAGGTATCTTCGAGGTACAACCAAAGTATGTTTATGCTTTGGAGATGAGAAGCCAGTATTAGTCGGTTATACCGATGCAGATATGGCTGAGGATGTTGACTCGAGAAAGTCTACATCAGGATATCTAATCACATTTGCAGGGGGAGCCGTGTTGTGGCAGTCCAAATTACTAAGGTATAACAACAAGACCAAGACCGGAAAAAGATCTGCAGGTGGTGCCTTGTGTTGAAAGTCTTCCCGACAAAAGGAGGTCGGGCGGCGTGTCCCGCAAAGTTGTGTCTTCCCGACAAAGGAGTCGGGCGGCCCGATGTCCCGGCAAAGTCTGTAGCGGCGGGGTAATCAAGATTGTAGCGGCGGTACAAGATGGTGGGCAGATCTAATAGATTATAGCTGCAGGGATGATGATGGCTAATGTCCCCACTTGAGTGTGCAGAGGGAGA